TATATATATATATATATATATATATATATATATATATGATAAATATATCAAAAATGTCATGTGGGTACTCAAATGAAAGCTCTTGATGAGGTTAACATCAAGATGAGCTTATATCTTTAAAAATGTCAATAATTAAAAAATTACGTTATATTTTGTCCAATGATGATATTTTCAACGATATAAGCTGATCCTGAAGTTACACTCATTAAGACCTTTTATTTGAATACCCACACGAATTTTTTTTATATTTCACAAATATCAGCAATATAAAATCTTTTATTAAAAAGCTTATGCGACATTTTCAATGTCGCTTTTCGTTGGCTAAGGTTTAAATTTCCAAAAATATTGATAAACTAAAAAAATCCCATTTGTTTTGCAAAAATTATATTTTTTCTTTAAAATAGTAATGATATTTTAAAGATTAATTATTTGTAAAACCTTAAAAATTTTTCAGTAAATTCTCAGGAACTATCAAACCTTTTAGAGCCAACGATTAATTCCCATTCGACTTTCCCACTTCTGAGCAAAAGCGACTCGCTCTTTGAAACTTTGAACTACTTAAAGTCCAACCGGATTGGGGACGATTACGGGATCTTAAACGTGGACACCTCTTGCATGGATTCGATGGACACTTACGAGGACCTGAGCGACGCAAGTCTGCTCTCGATGGCCCAGGACATAAAAGTAGTGACCCCCCGACCCAAAGTGACATTGCCTAGCTTCGCGGACATGAAAGTCCTCGGACCAAAGTACCAAGAGTTCGAAGCCGCTAGCCAGATGCAAGACATCAAAATCTTCGGCGGTTATGACCCCTACCCCAAAAATTTCAACGGCTACCGCTTGGACGCTTACGCAGCGCCACCTGTCTCGGTTCCTTATGTTCCAAGTGTTCCTATGACGTCAGAAGACTTGCGGATACACGACACCTACAGCAGGAAGACAACAAGCTTCGACAACAAGCTACTGGACAATATTGACCTGCAAGAGGAAATCTTTGTCAAGGTAGAGAACGAAATGGTTCCCATCAGCTCGATGTGGGACGAGTATGACGTCGACATCAACGACTACTGGGCTAATCATTTTTATCCTATGACTGCTTATGATTATTAAGTTTTAATCTGTTTTTTTTTTTTTTTTTTTTTTTTTTATTTATAATTATGCTAGACAAATTTATTTACTGTTTTAATTATTGATTTTATTCATTGATCTCTTTATCTACAAGCGTAGATTAAATATATAACCTTTAAATTTTTTGAGACTTATTTTATTGTTATTCTCTTTAAGGTCCCATCCTTCCTTAAGAACCCGAACCCTTCCACGAGTTCCTCCATCAATCCCGATCCTGAAAGCCAAACCGGGGAGAAAAGTAGCCCGGACAACTTTTTACAAGTAATTAATCTTATTTTTTCCGTATTTTTAGACCGCTTTTATGATACTCAAAATGGCAGCTAGTTTTTATTGTTAAACAAAATGGCGGAGCACTTAAATATACAATTGCATACAGTTTCATGCTTATGATATATTAACCATATTTTCTAATTTTTACCGCTTTTATTCTACTTAAAATGGCGGCTAGTTTTTGTTGAACAAAATGGCGGCTAGTTTTTATTGTTTCATAAAATGGCGGAACGCTTTAGTGTAGAATTGCATATAATTTCATGCTTATGATATATTAACCTTATTTTCTACATAATTTTTACCGCTTTTTATTGTTAAACAAAATGGCGGCTAGGTTTTATGGATAAAATAGCGGAGCGCTTTAATAAATTTATTAAAAAAAAATTTTTATTTAATAATTTTTTGATAGTTAAATTAAAAAAAATCATTTTACATAAATTACAATATAAAATTTTAATTAATTAAAATATTAAAATAAAGTTTAAATATTTTAGCGTAAAAATGGCCCCTTAAAAAAAAATTTAGTAGCCATTTTGAAAAAAAAATAAAGCGCTTACTTATTACCCAAAAAATATAATATTACAACCCGTATTTTGTATTTTCACGTACAGGCCAGTGGTTCTTTCTGCGATTCCGAGTATCTCAATTTCGAAGCACGGAACGTTGAGAGTCCTAACAGCCAAACAAACAAAGTATTTACCCTCGATAGTCTACCAGACCTCAATTGATCGCCGGCTATAGTAATTGCTTTCAGCTATCCCTTACTTTTATTTTATTTTATTCTTAATATATTTCTCCACCTTTATTTTACTCCCTTTTAAGCACACGAATTATCCATTAAATATTTAAAAAAAGTGTATATTATGAATTATAAAACCCCCGTCAATTTTAATATTGTTCCTTCAATAAATATAATAATTTAACATTTAAATTACTGAGAAGTTTACTCAGATCGTGCCTCGACTTTTATAAAATAAAGATAACCCAAAATAAAGATTTTAAACAAAGTATCAACTCTTATTTCTTCACCGAGGAATGCAACCCTCGGAATTTTTATCTAGTTTATTATTTTTATTTCTCGGTTAAAACTTTCCGAGACTCAAGTGTCAGGACTAGAAAAAAAAATAGAAGCTTTATTTTTTTTTATTCTTATAAGAAAATTACATAATAAATTCAGAATATTTACGGCAATACAACGGGGACCTTTTTTTTTTTTACAAGAAATCCATTAAAACATAGCGGGTTCAAAAAATCTTTCAATTTTAAAAAGAAAATCTTTATTATTAAGAAAATAAGGAAAATTTTCTTATAGAAAATTATCTCATCTAGATAGATGATTAAGAAATGACCTAGTATCTTGAGAACTATTGACATTTTTAAAGATATAGGCTCATCCTGATGTTATACTCATCAAGATCTTTCATTTGAGTACCCACATCAATTTTTCATATATTTATATATATTATATATATGTATATATGAAAAATTGATGTGGGTACTTAAATGAAAGCTCTTGATGAGTGTAACATCAAAATGAGCTTATATCTTTAAGAATGTCAATTGTTAAGAAATTACAGTGCAATTTAGAAAATATTTTGTGAACTATTGACATTTTCAAAGATATAAGCTCATCTTGATGTTTCACTCATCGAAACCTTTCATTTGAATACCCACATCAATTTTTCATATATTTATATATATGTATATATGAAAAATATATCAAAAATGCATATGGGTACTCAAATAAAAGGTCCCGATGAGCGTGATGTCGGGATGAGCTTATATCTTTAAAATTATCAATTGTTAAGAAAGTTCAGGACAATTTAACAAATATCATGTGAACTATTTGTGACATTTTTAAAGATATAAGCTCATCCCAATGTTACACTCATCAAGAGCTTTCATTAGAGTACCCACATGCATTTT